TAATGCTCACCTACCCATGGTGGAACATGTTAACACCACTTATGTGTCATGCACACATTGGTGATGTTAATATGTTCAAAAAAATACATCACCAATGTGTGCATGCCACATAAGCAGTGAGCATATTAAAATGTGCCCACCGTGGGTAGGGAAGCATTACTCTTGCTTTATATGAATAGTAAAAGAGAATTTATTGGTTTGACAAATAAAAAAAACGAATTATTGGTTGACGAAAAAGAGAAGTTGAGAAAAATAGCTTTCATAGTTGATCATTTTTTTTAATTTTTTATTTATTTTTTTTAAAAAAAGGAGCTTGGATTTGGTGAAAAAGAATTGTTTATGTTTCACATATTACTGTTTTTCAGAATAAGTTGAATGGTTGGTTTCAATTCCTTGACACGGAAATTAAGGGTAAAAAAGATAAATTTATTATATATAAGTTGAAATTAATAATACAATTAATTTGATTATTAGTTGGTAAAATAACTATTTAAGGCTATGTTTGGTAAACCAAATAAGCTAGCTTATAGCTTATTTGGTTAGCTTATAAGCTTCTTGTATTCAAATAAGCCCCGTTTGGTAGGACGAGCTTATTTAAAAAGCTCGAGCTTATTTGATAAGTTTGTTTAGGTAGCTTTTCAAATAAGCTAGTTGAATTTTTTATTCCAGCTAGCTTATCAGCTAATTTTACCAAACACTTTTATTATATATGCTAGCTTTTCAGCTATAAGTCATAAGCTATAAGCTATAAGCTCGAAAATTACATATAAGCTATAAGCCAGCTTATCAACTATCAGCTAGCTTATCAGCTAGTTTTACCAAACATAACCTAAGTTTCTATCATTTTTAGAGTAAATTTACTAATTTAGATGCTCATCATATCAAAATATTGGTAGTCTTTCACCTATATTTGTTTATATAAATCAAATTTGGCACCTTATTTAACTATTTAAGTTTCTATCATTTTTAGAGTAAATTTACTAATTTGGATGCTCATCATATCAAAATACTGGTAGTCTTTCACCTATATTTGTTTATATAAATCAAACTTGGCACCTTATTTAACTATTTAAGTTTCTATCATTTCTAGAGTAAATTTACTAATTTAGATGCTCATCATATCAAAATATTGGTAGTCTTTCACCTATATTTTGTTTATATAAATCAAATTTGGCACCTTATTTAATTTCACATTTACTCCATTTGAATAAAGGTTCAGCCTTTATTCACGAAATTGAATTTTAATAAGTGGTATTCCAAAAGGCCTCAAACTTTGAATAGTTTATGATAGGATTTTGCATGGATTACTTATTTTAAGAGGTGCAATTTAAATCTTTTAATTATCAACCATGTATTATAGAAATTAACTTTCATACTTAATAAAAAAATAATATATATATATATAGAAAAGTTTTATCAAACAAGCAATTATACATATCCAGGTCAAAGAATTAGAAACTAAATTTATCTATCAAACATAAAAAAAATAATTAATTATATCAACAATGAGTGACTAATAGTCAAATAGAATCATGTCCATATGATTATATTGAAGAAATATATTCAAATTTTAAACAAGAGTTAGGACCCATTCAAATTGAACATTTTCTCATATTTTTTTTCACTTTTTACATAATCACGTTACAACTATCAATTAACAGGGAGATGCTACAGTCCCGTTACGGATCATTTTGTTGGAGTTTGTAACCGTTAGATCATTATATTACTATCGGGGATAGTTAATCTAACGGTTACAAACCCCGACAGAATGATTCCGTAACAAGATCGTAACATTTCCCTCAGTAATAAATCATTTTTCATCTAATCTCATCTCAATTTCAAACTCTCAAACCTTATTCATTATTTTCTTTAATTTAATGTTAAATGATAAAAAAAAATTACAACCACACAAACGTTCAATCTCTTTTGTTTGACTTTCCCACCAAAACTTTAAAATAATTTAAATTTAATGGTAAAATTGGCCTATTGGTTTGACAAATTAATTTGGTAGAAATTGCAGCCATGTGCGAAAATGATTCAACAACAATCTTTATTCTCCATTTGTATAAGTTTTGATAC